CAATCATTGGTGATAATAAGCAAGCACCCTTGTCTGACTGACTCCTGTGTTTACTCCAAACGCCTCGCTCAGTGGGTTTTCCGTTGTGTATCACTTGACATGTGGCGTTGTCGTACAGTTGTTGAATAAGTTTGATGAATATTTGGGCGCTGTACGCCGTATTACTCGAGTAGTTTCCAAATTACTTCATGGTCGACGCTGAACTGTCGATAGCCTTCTCAAAGTCTATGAAGTTGAGGTAGAGATTTGATCGCCATTCCATGCTTTGTTCTGTGATGATGATGCGTAGGGTTGCAATTTGGTCAGTACGTGATTTGCCTGACTTTCCTGAATGCAGCCATCTTGTTCTGGTCGGAGTTCTGTCTCCAGTGCGTCCTTTATTCTCTCCATGATGATGTGACCCAGGATTTTACTTGGCGTCGATAGGAGCATGATTCCTTGCCAGTTCTTGCAGATTATTAAGTCACAAGCTGAATACTCTACATACAAGAATATATATTCGTGTATGTAGAGTATTCAACTTATCAGTCTTATATCTCCCAATGTAATTTCAAAAGTATATATATTCGTGTATGTAAAGTATTCAGCTGACGAGTTCTACCGAAATTTGATGAATTCATTAAATCCTGCTTTATTAACCTTTATTGCTTGTTTTAAATTCGTATCGGTAAATAAATGTTTTCAATTCTATTAAGTCACACTTCTCTGGTACTTTCACGAGGTAACCTTTCTTCCAGCCAGTAGTTACCTTTCCCTCCTTCCAGACCTTTTGCAATAATGGAGTCAGCATGTCTGCTGTAGTCTCTGGGTCCGATTTCAGTGCTTCAGGAGGTATTCCATCTGGTCCAGCTGCTTTTCCAGCTTTCAGAAGCTTGATTGCATTCAAGACTTCAGCTTTCGTTGGAGGATTGGTGTCAACTTGCAGTTGTGTGCGCGCTGTTGTTGGTATTTCTGGACGGGTTGCAGGTGGTGGTCGGTTCAAGAGTCCTTTGAAGTGATCCGCCCATTGTTTAATCTGTTTTTCTTCCTTGGTAATTGGGTTCCCTTGGCTGTCTTTTATAGGTTTCGCTTGTGTTGATCTCTTCCCGGATAGAGATTTGGTTATCTGATATAATGTCCTCAGGTCCCTTTTGCCTGCTGCCTTCCCAGCTTCAGTGGCCAGGTTGTCGTAGAATCGTCTTTGTCCTTCCTAGCACTCTTCTTCACTTCTTTGTCCAGTGCTGTGTGAGTTGAGCTCAGCGTCTCCTTCTCTTGTCCGTCCTTGCATTGAATCATTTTCTCTTTCACCATTCTCCTCTCTTCTATTAATTTCCAAGTGTCCGTTGAGAGCCATTCCTTGTCTTGTCTCTTCTTTCTTCCTAGAACCGTTGAACACGTTTCGTTGAGAATCGCCTTCAGAGACTTCCAATGTTCTTCCACGCATGATTCTTCAGTGATGTCGCGTAGTGTTTCCTGCTTTGCTCTGACAGTTGCAGTGAAAGTGTCTTTGTGGTTGTGTCCTTCAGTTTTGAGTGTTGAACTTGCATTGTGGCCTATCCCCAGCTATCCTCGAGGCTTTTAGCTTCACCTTGAAAGTCCCTTGTACTAGATAGTGGTCTGAACCCACATCTGCTCCTCTCCTTGACCTTGTGTCCAGTAGGCTCCGTCTCCACTTTCTTGAAATTGAGATGAAGTCTATTTGGTTCTTGGTGTTTCCATCTGGTGAAATCCATGTCGTCTTGTGTATATCCTTGTGTTTGAACACACTACCGCCAATCACCAAATCATTGAAGGCGCAGAAGTCTGAGAAGAGTTCACCATTGTCGTTCATTTCACCGAGGGCCTCTCGACCCATGGTGAGTTCTCTTCCTGTGTTGTCTCCACCCAGCTTCGCATTCATGTCGCCCATCAGGATTTTGATATCGCCATTTGGGACGTTGTCCATTATTGTTTGTAGTTGTCTGTAGAACGCCTTCTTCTCTTGTTCTGAGACGTTTGTAGGCGCATAGCATTGAATGACTGTAACTTTCCTTCCTTTTGAGTTGAACCTGGCTGTCATTATCCTGGAGGAGATTGGTTCCCACTGCATGAGAGCTTTGGCTGCTGTTGGTGACATCATGATGGCCACTCCCTCGGTGTGCTCGTGGTTGTCCTCTTGGTGGCCGGAATGGATTACTGTCTCTCCAGTTGGTAGTTGGCACCTTCCAGTTCCGTTCCATCTGCTTTCGCAGATTCCCAACACTTCTATTCTGTACCTTCTCATTTCAGCGGCTATCTGGGCAGCCTTTCCAGTTTCGTACATTGTACGAACATTCCAGGTACCCATCCTTACTTTTGCTTTCATCAAAAGAAAGCAGGCACATCGGCTGACTGGCTTCCCGAAGGCTAGCTTTCACCAGCCGGCGTCATTTCGCTTTCCCGATTCCAGTGAAAGATAAGGCTATTCTTTATATTTTTAGAATTTACAATATATTTATTCGTTGAAGTTTCTGTACCGATTTGGTTGTTTTACGGAGGTGGGGTTGCTAGCACCACGCCCCAACCCTCCCTCTTTATCCGGGCATAGGACTGGCAAGAAAACTGGCGCGCTAGTAATCTAGGCGAGGTCATTGTAATAAAAATGCTATACGTGTATATTAGAGCAGAGCCAGAGAGAGACGTGATGAGGATCTAATTCAAAGTGAATATTTTTTTTCGCTGATCAATCTTTCCATTTTTTCTAAATGTACAAATAGGGAATTTATCGTAGATGAGAATAAGACCGGAAGTTGTCAAGGTGACTGATTATAGAAATAAAGGTTTGCATAATATAAGGAAAAGATTGCAGAGTCATTGCGAGTAATAGACAAATAAGTTCTACACAAATTAAGCCAGTGAACGTTGACAGTGGAAAGTCAATCACTGAAGAGGTGGAGCAAAGCAAAAGACACTGGGCTGAACATTTCAAAGGACTTCTAAACTGACCGCCAGCTACAACGCGCTGAATAATACCAACAACGGAGGCAGAATCAGCAGTGAACATCAACCCCCCCCAGCGAGAACAGAAGTTCTGAAGGCAATCAAGATGCTAAAAGCCGGAAAAGCAGCAGAACTAGATGGAATCTCAGCAGAAGTATTGAAAATGGATCCAGAGACTGGAGAAGGTGTGGAAGGAGTGAAGGGCAGGGCACTCAAAGATTGGAAGAAAGGATACTTATTCAAACTGCTAAAGAAAGGAAACACATAAGTCAATGCAAGAACTGGCGCGACATTATGCTCCTGTCCATCACACGCAGAATACTAAGCCCCATCATCCTGAAAAGATAATCAAACACGCCAACCTGCATGAAAAGCTTCGACAGGAACAGGCTGGATTTAAGAGAAATAAGTCATGCATTGATCAAATCGCCACACTATGAATCATCATTGAACACAGCTTGGAATCGCAGTCAGTTACCTGTCTATATCACTCAACTTCATCGACTTTGAAAAGGCCTTCAATAGAGCAGCGTCGATCTACAGGTAATTTGAAGACTAATTCGCTACTATGGGGTCCCACCGACAGTTATACATTTCATCCAACAGTTAGTCGTACGACAATCCTGCTTTCCAAGTAATCCACAATGGAAAACTTACGGAAACCTTCGAAGAAGTAAAGACGGGGATAAGGCAGGGCTGACTGAATGCCTACTATTGCCAACTATTTTGCTGATTTCAGTAGATTAGATTATGCGACAGACAACGGGTCAGGCAGCGAGGAAACAGGCATCAAGTGGACTTACACGGAAAAAGACTTGGAGGATCTGGACTTCTCCGATGTGATATACATGCCTGATTTCACACAAACTGGAGGATATCCAAGTGAAAAGCAACAAGTTGGCGGTAGAAGATGCATCCAGAGAAGACAGGACTTCCTTCAGCTGAACATAGAATAAACAGAAGTAGGTGATGAAGATTCCTGGCCAATACCAACACAAACAGCAACAACAACAACAACAACAACAAGAGACAACGATCAGCCAGCCTAAATAGGAGAAACCTGAAAGAAACAACCTCCTTCACCCACATACCTACCTACCTACTTAAATACGGTCCTACCTGAGAAGCATCGTTCCAACTATAGGCGAACGGAACTGAGGAGGATATCAAATCAGCGAGGATCATCGGGAAAGCAAGACAAGCCTCCATTACTCTCAAGTCTGTGTGGAGGTCAACAGCACTCAGCATGAAAATGAAAATATGATCCGAATTTTCAACTTCAATATGAAGTTAGTCAGTGCTACTCATCATACGGATCAGAGATTTGGCCAGTGCATCATGAAGACCACCTCAAACAAATTACGCACCTTCATCAATAGATAACTGTCTTCTCTCAATACCACTCAAGATCAGATGGTCGGGCAACCAGAAAAGATCAACAACAGGGGGGAAGGCATCTTTGGGAATGAGCAAACCAACCAACACAGCAGGATCCGATTGTGCAACAAATAAGCAGGAAGAAATGGAGGTGGATTGGATTGGATTGTGGCCATCCTCTGAGAAAACAAACCATCAATCGAATGATATCACTAGACAAGCCATCCCTTGAGTGGAACCCGTTCGAATGGGGAGCGGTGAGTTGATCGTCAGTGTGAGGGTGAGGAGACTTAAAGAAGAGGCAGAAGGAGGTCATGAGAAGAGGAGATGATGAAAGACCATGATGGGCAGACTTGGAGCCAGGTAAAAACTTTAGCAGAGAATTCAACGCTGTGAAGATTCTTGGCTGAAGAAGCCCTATGTTCCTCTAGGAACTAAAAGACCCTGTCAAATATCTACTTCTCTCACTCGGTGCCCAAATATATTTTAGAACCACTCTGTTAGTTTTCTCATTATGTCTACAATGCTGTCAGTGTTGTGACTTTGTAATCTAGTGTGCATGAAGTTATCAAAAAAGGTGAAATGAATAGTTTGAAAGTTGAAAATAAAAAAAAACTATCGCCTTGTCTTCCTCACATAACAAACACCCCTTTCCTCTTTCTTTTCTTTTTTTTATGCTTTGTCAGTGCAAGGAAATCAGCTTCGACCACATACGATCAATTGAAGTAAGTGAACAATCTTCATTCCATATCGACATTTTGATAATATTCATATTTAAATTAATTTTCAATTCACCGAAACTGCCTATTGAGTCATGTATCCAGTGCGTCCTTTACGCTCTCCATGATGATGTGATCCAGGATTTTATTTACCGTCGACAGGAGCATAATTCCTCGCCAGTTCTTCCAGAGTACTAAGTCACACTTCTCTGGTAGTTTCATGAGGTAACCTTTCTTCCAGTCAGTAGGCATCTTTCCCTCCTTCCACAACCTTTTGCAATAATGACACCAGCATTGCATCTTCTGTCGTTTCTGGCTCCGTGTTTTAATAAATAACAGTAGAAAAAATTAAAATAGACAAATTAGGATTAGGGTTAGGTCTACGGTTGCCCGGCGCTCTTCACCGGGTTGACTGTCCATTGGATAACAGACAGTCTAGGGGAGATGGCTAAACCCTGCCTGATTCCAAACCTCCAACGACTGGCGTATGAAGCTCACCGGAGCTCACCGGTAGGCAGATGTATGGACAAAAGGGGCTTATTGGATGCTCTGGTGCATGTCTGGCCCCATTCAAAAAGGCGTATGAACCGGACTCCAGTCACCGGCTGGTTGACAATGGTTAGTCGACTCCTTCCTACTCCACTCCTACTGCCTTATAGGAGGTCACACTTGGTTGGTTGTGTAAAGGCTAGAGCTGCACTCTCAAACAACAGGCCAAGCAATTCTGGGGACATCACTCGTACCTAATTCCCATGAAACTTCATGAACTCTTGTTGATGAAGCCGGCTCATCCTCCCGTAGCAGATAGCCGAAGTAAAGTAAAGTAAGTAAGTGATATTCACCAGCGAGGCAGTAAATTTCACGCTAAATCACTTTTTTTTTAAATTGTTGTTTGGACAATGTGTGTTGATGGCTCACTACGATTAGAATTAGGGTTAAGGTGAGTAAGTATTGGGGTTACGGTTAGGATCAGTGTCATAATTAGGATTAGGGTTAGGTCTACGGTTAGGATAATCAGGATTATAATTAGGTTTAGGATGAATGTTATTGTCAGTGTTAAACTTAGGGTTTAAGAGGTCAAGATTAAGGTTTGGGGTTACGATTATGAATAGATTTAGAGCCGATGTCTCATTTATTTTAATCTGTTTTATTATCCACACACACTTTCCTGGTAAGTAAGTAAGTAAGTAGTCGTCGACCCTCTTACTGGAAACCACAGTAATTCAACCGACGGCTTCCGGGGGGCGGGGGGCTGGGGAGACGGGGAGAGATAAACGATTCGCAAGAACAGTTTATCTGTAGTCACTTCGGTGAATACATATGTGCAGAAATCAGTCTAACTTAGTAACCTGTTACTTCTCACATTATAACTGGAACGTATTTTTAAGTCATTTGTCAAAGGAAGATACACTGTCTGATGGCTTTTTATGCATTTTTCTTGTAAAAATATACATCAAATCACCGAAAATACCCATTGAGTCATGAAGTAGAAAAATAAAAGACAAATTCAGCGAAGAAACTGCTTCTTTATCGGCGACGAAATCATCTTCCTTCACAGGCTGACTTGGCTGTACAGTCGTATTTCTACTTACCAAAACTATATATATACTGACTGGTCTATTATTGAGTAATAGCGGCGGGGGTGTGTGTATGTGACATAATTGGTATATTTACTTGGAAGTGGCATAAGAAGTGAAAATTAAGATTTGTGAGGATTTCATCATTAGCTGACATCAGTTAGAGAACCATTAAAAAACAAGCTAGGAGTACTGGACAGCTGTTTCGTCTGACTAGTTTGGAACTCTTCATTAGTACGCACCCACTGGGATTTGAGCTCAGGACCTTCTGGTTACAAGGCGAGCTCGTATACCTTTAAGGCACAGGGACCCGATCCAATGGTCCTTGAATTCTAACTTCTGCCAAAAGCTCATGATGAAATCCTGAAACCAATCAAATCCCTGCAAACCAACACTTGAATACCAATGAGATGCTCACTGGCGACTGGCCCTACTCAAATAGGTAGTTACCTGGGTTCCAGTGGGAAGCCGTGACCAGTAAAGTGCAGCGGGTCGGCTGTGAGGACAAATACTCGCCAGCGAAGACATTGGCTAGCAGTCGCGCTATGTTGTGAATTGGCAGAAGTTAGAATTCAAGGACCATTGGATCGAGTCCGAGTGGCTTAATGGTATACGAGCTAGCTCGCCTTGTAACCGGAAGGTCCTGGGTTCGAATGCGTTGTGGTGGGTGCGTACTGCTGTGGAATAGTCCCAAACTAGGACGAACAAGCTGTCCAGTACTCCCAGCTTGTTTTCCAATGGTTCTCTAACTGATGTCAGCTCATGGTGAAATCCACCATGCAATCAAATCGAATAAAAATAAAAACGTTTCGTAATATCGTGTGAAATTTGATAGTTTAGAATTTAACGTTATAAAAAAGGAGAATTGATTTCGAATGACAAGTGGATGGGGCGATTGAAATAGTCCTGGGGACAGTTCAAAGTGAGAATAGTAATAGTAGTAACAATTGACATTGTAATAAAGGAAGAGTATACAAAATGAATAGACAAAATGAAAAATTGGTAGAGCCAAAATATGATTGGCGATTATCATACTTTAGCATAGAGGAAGGATTAAGGCCATAAAAGTTGGAGGGGAGGGATTAAACGAACTGCTTTTCTGTACACAGAGATTTGGCTTTTCTGTTTCGATAGCCAAAGATGGCTTCAGCAATACAACAGATGACTCGGGTACGTGGTGATTCGCGTAAATTACTTTTCTGCCCTGTAGTTGACTATAAAGGCGGAGACTATAGAGATGGAGTGATCATTATCGCAAGGAGATGTTCAATGATCCCGCTTTTTATTGCTTGCTCCACTTCCACATCTTTGTAACTAGCATGCAGGGAATAGTGTTCTTGAAGCCTCTTGGACAAAACTCCAGTTGAACGACTGATATACCTAGCTCCACACGAGCAGCGAATTGATAAACGCACAGCGGGATCTTGTCCTTCAGGTTACTGAACAACACTAATGGTCGACTAGTAAAGGCTATTCTCAGAGATACAGCAGGGAATGTTCTTTTCAGCGATTTTGATATCCTTCTTTTTATAATATCGGAAGCTAAGAGTCCCCTTTGAATTCCAAGCTCATGTAAAGTATTTTCTTGGGTAAGGATAATAAGTCATGTTTTATCGAATTTGAACGTATATTCTTGTCTATAACACGTGGTGGGAATCCATTTTATATTAAGATTTTCCTCAATTCATATAACCCATTTTCCATAGTATCAGGACTACATATGCACTGAATGCGAGTGGCAAGCAAGCCTGGATCAGGTTTCGTTTTCAAACCAATGCGTACTCGTCTGTTGAAATATTTTCAATTGACCACTCCATAACAGCTTTCGATAAATCGATCTCTTCAGAGTTCCACCGGGTCCTACTTGATAAGTTTACATAGAGGAATTGAATGCTAGACCCCCCTTTCTCCTCCACCGGATATTACTTCTTAAAGAAAACCATATGTGTATATACGATTGTACAGATTGATGATAAGTTCGTTGTTGAGAAGAGTCTGTTCTCTGAATGGATCATCCCTTGTTTTGATTTTCTATACATTAGTCACTGGGGGGAATGCAGCGATATTTTCTGGTGGAATGGACAAATGAGCTTTATTCGACTGTACAGTTCAGAGAATAGGAACTATTCACTATACAAACAGATCTGTGGTGTTGTTGTGGTTGTTGTTGTTGTTATGCATTTTTTTGGCATCTTTTTTTAATATTCTTTCATATATTCTCTTTCAGATCATACTTGCACACAATGAATGTGTTCAATCTTCATGAGACAATAAAACAAGAATTTCTACGGAAACAAGCTGATCTGTTCAATTTAAACGATGGTATGTGATACCTCGTAGTGTGTAGTTGGCTTTCAGTCATTTTAACACAATATGTCCTGTATTTGTGTTTAATTTTATTTTGTCCACGTGTTTCTGATTCAATTTTCAAGAAATAACAATTAATAGTTTTTCAAAAGAATCGATAGAGATACTGAACAAAGAGAGTAAATCCTCTTTTCGATAACCCCTTCATCATCACCATCATCATCATCAGGCTCTACAGTAGTTATACACCCATCCATTATAGTCAATGAATGAATTACAACAATCAACAACATTCATGTTGCTGTTTAAATAACATCGAATCAATGATAATAATAATAATACTAATAGTGGATTACAGTTCAAAGCATCAACATAACACTACAAACTGAATGTCAGATAGAGAAATTAGGAAAGATAATATTACAAATTCATGAATGCATAGTCTCCACCCACTGAAGGTCGGTCAGGGCAGTAGTATGGGCTGCCTAGCTGGCTAGCTGGTTGGACTTGCTTCTTCTCCACACATACACACGCACACAGAGCACTCACTGGTTGTTTGAGGCGAATTACAATAGCCTCTGATGTTTTATGCATTCGATGGGTGCTTCGATGATGATTTTGTTAATCTGTTCGGCACCTGAAAGATGATGATTGAGAAGGATTCTCCAATGCTAGCTGGCTGGCTGACTGAGTGACTTTGTGGTCGGCCGGCCGACCGGTTTGCACCAGATGGTCCAGCATCCAACTGTTCATGATGGTTTTCACTGCACACCTTTACTTAGCCATAATCAGAGATGTTCTAGAGCGAGTGAGCACCAAAAATCAAGTTCCTGGAGCAACAACGGCCGATATAACTCGCTCAACAAGCACAAGCACAGTTGCAGTTCAATTGGTAGATACAATTTGAAGTGGCCAGCTAATCTAGTCTAGGTACTTCGTCTTTCAGTCGAGGAATCACTATCGGTCGTGTAGAGAATAAACCATGTAGTTTATTTACAGTTTATATACAACATTATATTAGACAGTTGGAGGCAATGGGCCACACGTAGCCTCACTCGACCTCGGTTTCGTATTAGTTGACACTCACCGGTCACTGAGCTAATCGGGTTCGCGACCGACTTCCTGTAGGACTGTAGTGGGTACTTTCATTGGACACTAGTAACTAGTAGTAACGTCTCTGATTGCAGTATTCACTGGGTGACGCGTGCTCAAATCACAGATAGGTGGACATGAGCTGTCCCCTCAATGTGGTTGCTGATACGCCTTGATAACTGACCAGTGAGTATCAACTAGCAAGAAACCTAGGTCAAGTGAGGCTTCCTCTGGTCAATTGCCTTCAACACTATCTAATATCGTCAAATCAATGTGTGCACCGCGATGGTGAGCGAGCCACCTAGTGGCATGGTGGCCACATTGCAAACCTGACTGACTGACTGATAGAATTCAGTCTGCACCAAAGAAAGTACTAGCCAGACTCCTCACGCTAGTTATTGACTACTGTCCAATGAAAAAAGCAATATGACATTGTTTGTCTGTGGGACAATGTTGCTAGGCTAGCCGACCCCGCGAGTGGTAAGCGTTTGATTCCCCAAAGATGCATCCTTAAACCTCGCCTAAATAGTAACAAGCCCAGTAACTGTACTACACGTTAGTTTCATATTAGATTGTTTATTAGATGTATCACACAGTCAGTGAGAGAAAAGGTATTAGTATTTACTAGATGACAAGGTTTTGAACACAATTCATTATTGCTGTTCATAATCATACACATCATCATCAATTATAATCACACGACTTTGAAACTTGAGTTTTATAGTGCTGGCGTTGCAGCTGTGCTTGACTATCACAGTATTTAAATTCCAAGGGAAAATATACAAACAAACCGAGGGAGTAGTCATGGGATCACCAATACCCCGATTGTAACAGATATATTCATGGATAGGTGGGAAAACATAGCCATTGAAACTTTCACAATCACCCACCCGAAAAGTATGGTGGAGTTAGTATGTAGATGACACACCTTCACTGTACTCAGGACACAGGATATATAGATAGATTTTTCGAACACATAATAAATCAAAGATGGAGGCATTTCAAATCACTTATGATGAATTGGAAAGTCATGAACGGGGGTGAGGCTTCCAATGTTAGATTGTAGCGTAAAAAAGGAGAGAAGATGGGAAGTTAAAAAACACAAGTGTTTGTTGACAGGAAACCCACACATTCCGACAGATATCTGAATACCGATCATCCGATCCCATGTCGGTAAAAATAGGATTGGTGAAATGTTTAAGTGACAGAGCACAAAAAACTAAGTAGTACAAAGGAAAATCTAAGACAGGAAGTGAGGCATATTGGAGAAGCCTTGAAACTCAATAATTACCCTCATAAATTAGTCAGGAAATATGTAGAGAAATGTAAAAATAAAATAAATAATGATAGTAGTCATAGTGATAATCATAGTAATAATATTAATGACGACATGCAAGTCAAATATGCGGAAGACAACACCAACAATAAGGAATCTAAACCATCAGTAGTAATTCCATACAAAGAAGGAACCTCGGTAACAACCGCCTTACGCAGAATTCTTAACAAGGCGAGCAGGAATAAAAGTGACTGGAATTCAAACCAATCACAAACTCAATTAGAAACAAGCTATGTTAGTTGAAGGATCATTCCTGACAGTGGAGCCTTTGAAACAAAACAATTTAGTTTATCTAATACCCTGCCTGCTGGAATGACTGTCAGGCCAAATACATAGATGGGTCAAACTAGTAGAACAGGATCAGTTGGACTAGCCGAGCATAAAAACCTAGCTAAGTCTAGATTAGTTGACCCGACTGAATAAAATAAGAAATCTCGAGAAGAGTTCAGCACCTATCGCAAGCACTACATGCAATTGCACACAACACAACCACACAATAGGCTGGATGGGATAGGAAGACAGTTTTAAAATCTAATACAACTAACAGGGTGACCAGTGGCGGGGGGGGGTTGATAACAGAAGCTTTGTTTATCGAATCTACTGCAAATCGACTCGTGTAATAGGAATGATTCAACACCTGTCCACTCAGATATCTGGAAAATTTTACAACCCTAATGATGACGACAAATAGGAGAGGGCCAAGAAAACTATAAAAGTCAAGTTTCGAAGTCTTGTGATTATAATTGATGATGATGTGTATGATTATGAAGAGCAATAAGTGAATTGTGTGTGTTCGAAACTTTGTCATCCAGTAAATATTCATACTGTTTCACTCACTGACTGTGTGGTGATACATCTAATAAACAAAATAATATAGAATTACTTACTATCACCACCACCACCACCACAGTGCCCGCGTTTTGCACATATATTACTGCATGTTAGTATTTTTCAGGGTCACCAAGACCAAATGTCGACAATATTTGAATGGTTTAGTGTGTACATTGAAGCTTTTGGCATCACAAATTATAAATATGCATTATGTCTAATCACTGTATGTATGCCAGTGAATAAAATGCCGGTGAATAAATAATGTCTATAATAAGCTGATTGATCCAGACGTCAGGAAATTAAAATCTACTAATCAGAGAACCAGAAGGTTTCTAACAGATGTGTAGGTATCACGTTGTTCAATTGTCCAGACTAAGAGAAAGTAAACAAAAGTGGACAAGTGAAACAGATGAAACTATGGTCAAAGATAATCTACAGACGAATAGATAACTAGATGTATTCATCGGAACACAAGGTGTAAATATATATCCATCTTCAGTGAGAATGATATTTAGCCATACCACAATCCATTCAACAGCTGTACGACAACGCCACATGTCAAGTGATACACAACGGAAAACCCATTCAGCGAGGCGTTTGGAGTAAACACAGGAGTCAGTCAGACAAGGGTGCTTGCTTATTATCAACAATGATATTCCTAATTGTGGTCGGCTGATTGGATTATGCGTCAGACAGTGAGAAACGAGAAGACAGGAATATCCTGGACCGACGTGAAGAACCTAGAAGATCTGGATTTCGCACGGCGATGATTTATGTTTGATGTCACTGTCACACAAAATCGAAGACTTACAGGCGAAAACTGACCGACAAACTGGTCGAAGAAGCAGCCGTCAAAGACAGGACAGGACTCCAGGTGAACATAGACAAGACAGAGGTTATGAAAATAACCAACCAACCAACAACAACAACAGCACCAACATCCAGCGCCAAACACCATGAACGGGAGGGATTTGAAAGAGGTTACACTTCCTTCATTCACTTATCTAGGGAGGGAGCATTGTCTTAAATACAGGAATTCGAAACGAACGTGGATGTAAAATCGAGCGAGAATCGTGGGGAAGGCGAGAAACACATTCACTCATCGTCGTCAGTGCAAGGGTGACATGGAGGAGATCGTGTGAAGAGGAGTTGAAAGAATATGGACTAACATGGATACAGGCGAAAAGTACAGCAGAATACAGAAGCAAATGGAGACGTCCAGTTGAAGCCCTATGTTCCACTAGGAATCCAAGGGAGCAATAATAATAATACTAGCCATTCATTTCAGGATTTCAGTATTTCATCCACCCTTGTCAAGCAGGTCGTTCACGCCATCTCGAATGTTGCTCAAACTGGCAGTCAACAAAACAAATCCAATGGGTCTAGTGCAACATAATAGCCAATTTGTTACTTCTTATGGCAAAGTTAAACTTTCAGTACCAGTTACCACCACCAATCAGCAAATCACCTTCAACGGATCAATCACATGAAAGAGGGATCTTTGGTCAAGGAAAACGTATGTTTCAATGGAAAAAGAGCATAAAATAACTGCATAAAACGTTTACACAGGGGTAATCTTTCTTTAACATGTGACAGAAACATCTCCAAGTTAGGCATTGGACTGTCAATAGAAAAGTCACACCACATTCTGTATATATATATATATATATATATATATATATATATATATATTCATCCGAATGACTAGAAATGAGATCCTTTTGAGATCTATTTATACCCCTAATCCTATTTTTTTCAATCTTCCCCAAAATCCTTCAATCGAATTTGTGTGTATGTCACCGTAATTGGATCCACAAAATTACTGGGATTGGTCACTCTATGATCCCTGTTTCACAAGTCTTGTAATAATAGGTATTAGAGTAGTTGACTTCCCGTCTGAAATTCTCTCCACGAATCCTTTTCGGAGGGAGGTGTCATATAAACCGAATTACCTAAATACTGTTGACTCGCTGACGATTACGGTGTTATTTTTTCTCTCTTCAGTAACACAGTTTCGTCCATGTGCACGACGATGCCTTCTCCGCCTAACAACGAAGTTATTCTTTCCATTTTCCATGATGCAATGTCTCTGCGGTGCCGATCCCCTGAACTGTTGACACGAGGCTATTTTTGGGTTTCAACAGCGCTGCGGCTCTCACAGGCTGTTTTAAAACCCCCAGTTAGTTGCAAATATACAAAATCTGCGTTAATCAGAGAGAGAGAGATGCGACCTAGCAAAAATACTGTTCCTACGAAATATTAAAATTATCAGCTTACCTTCTCGAATGCTAACTAGTCTCAAGCGTAAATTGCACAACGATGGACATATCCATCATCAGTCGACTTGCTAAAGCTTTTCAATCTCTTGACACCACCACCACCACCACATGAAAATATCCTCTCTTTCTTAAGCAACCCGTAAATCCAGGCAATACTGCAAAACATTATTCTCTTCGAAATGCAAGTGAAACTTCGTTAGGGCACGCATTTGAAACGAATCAAGAGCGCTATGCAACCAACATTGAACACTCACGTTTATGAATCTCTCATTGAATCATTCAGCGTCGTTTACTGATTGGTAGGGTAAAGGGTTAGTGGTGCTTCAAGTTTAACTTGGCCCCAATTATTTCTTTGAGAAAGTACTCTATTCAAACAGGTCCTCAATTAATCAATTAATTAAAAGTCAATCTGAACGAAGAAGACGATTCTTTTCAATACATCCTTCTCCTATTCAGGTTCTTACAATTATAAAACAAAAATTATAATATTTGTTGTCATTACAATAATGATGGCCAGTTAGTTATGCGGCGGCGGCGGCGGATACATTTCTACTTAACGTAGAATAAAAGATTAGCAGTGATGGGGTGTCAAAATGCGTAGTCGTATTTATGTGTGTCTGACAAACGTGCTCAGATTGCATACACTATTTCGGTGAAATGGGCGACAATGATGGTGGTGGTGGTGGTGATTAGTCGTCATAATAGATTTGTAGAGTGTGAGGTGGGAAAAGTTGACAAGTAAGTCAGTTCGAGGATGTATCACACAGTCAGTCAGTCAGTCAGTCAAACAGTATTAGTATTTACTGGATGACAAAAGTTTCGAACACACACAATTCACTTATTGCTGTTCATAATCATACACATCATCATCAATTATAATCACACGACTTCGAAACTTGACTTTTATAGTTTTCTTGGCCCTCTCCTATTTGTCGTCGTCATTGTGGTAGTAGCAGTTTCTAGATATTGGGGGTGGTGGACAGTTGAAGGCACGTGTTGATTTCCAGTTGATTCGATAAACAAAGCTTCCGTTCTTATCAGTATTCCCCACTCGCCACCCTATTAGTTGTAATAGATTTTAAAACTGTCATCCTATCCCATCCAGTCTATTGTGTGGTTGTGTTGTGTGCAATTGCGTGTGATGTGGTGCTATTACTGAACAGTCAATCCTCCAGATTTTTTATCTTATTCGATCGGGTCAATCAATCTAGATTTTTCTTTTTGGGCCTTTATGCTCTCAGCTAGTCTGACTTACTGACTGACCCTGTTCTACTAAGTTTGACCCATCAATGCATCTGACCTGACAATACCCTCTCAAACAGGCAGGGTATTAGATGAACTAAATTTAGCGTCAAAGATGTATTTGAATCCGTAGACAAAATAAAAGATATGATTATCAAGGACAAAACCATGATATCTCTGAACATAACATCATTATTCACAAATGTACCTTTAATAGAAAGAGTTAATTACATAGGCGAACAAGTGGACAAGCTGTCGATAAACATTGGTATATATACTGAGAACACAAAAGAATTGATATTAAGATATACCATGAATGTAAGTTTCAAATTTAACGGTATGATTTACAGACAAGTGGACGCGGTGGCGATGGGCTCCCCATTGGGTCCCATTCTGGTTGATTTCTTTCTAAGTAGGCTAGAAAATGGACCTCTGAACAACCTTATCAGTAAGTTCTCATTGTATTGTCGATATACGGATGATACTTTTATTCTTTGTGAAAATGGTTCTGATAAGACTACAATAATCACTGAATTCAATGAAGTACATTCGGCTATGAAAGTCACATGCATATAGGAATGCCAAGACAGAATTGCCTTCCTGGATGTCCTACTTACAAGAAAACCAGATGGTAGCATGAAAAGAAATTTGGCATAGAAAAAGCACTTGGACAGGACAATATACACACACATTTTCACAGCTTCGTTCCTATCAAGTATAAAAGAAATTTAGTGAAGACCCTCAGCCACAGAGTTGTAGCTATATGCTCAGAAGAAGTAATTGAAGATGAATTAATTAAGCATTGTATATGATACTTTGGCTGATCGAAAATGGCTATCCCAAAAAATTTATCAAGAAACATATGACAAAGAAAGCGGCGGAAAAGGTCTACTCACTATCTGTAAAAAAGAAGCCCCTTTATATACGACTACAATTCATGGGCGATATACCAAGCGAGATAGTTGCGAAGAAATTAAGAAAATCAGTTCAAAGAACTTTTAATGCTGGCGGCGAACTACACGTGTTATTCTCTACACGACCGATGGTGATTCCTCGACTGAAAGATGGAGTACCTAGACTAGCTGGCCACTTCTAATTGTATCTATCAATTCAACTGCGCTTGTGGAGCCAGTTATATTGGCCGTTGCTCTAGGAACTTGATTTTTCGTGCTCACTCACTCGAGAACATCTCCCAGCATGGCTAACTAAGTAAAGGTGTAGTGAAAACTATAAACAGCTTGATATTGGACCATCTGGTGCAAACCAGCCGGACACAAAGCCAGCCAGCGTAGATGATTCCTTCTCTATATTATACCGGGTGCCGAATAAATTACCAAAAACATCGAAGCACCACAGGCTCCAAACAGCAGACGCTATTGTGATTCGCCTCAAACAACCAGCACTCTGTGTTCAAAAGAAGCAAGTCCAGCTAGCCCCTACTATTGCCCTGGCCAGCCTTCAGTAGAAGCTATAAACCCATATATTTTTAATTATTATCTTTCTTAATGTTTTTGACATTCAGCTTATTCTATGTTGATGCGATTCAGGTGTAATCTATCAATATTATTGATTCGATGTTATCTAAACAGCGTTAATGTCGTTCATAACACTAATTCATTCATTCACTATAATGGATGGATATATAACTGTAGAGCCTGATGATGATGAAGGGGTTATCGAAAAGAGGTACTCTTTGTTCAGTATCCAGTATCTTTTGAAAGTTATTTTAATGGGCATTTTTAATCAGTTAAATTGTTTTGATTGTTTTAATTCATTCAATATGGGAAAACATTTCACACATTATTATTATTATTATTATTAAATAAATCTAATCGATTAATTGTTTTGCTTTTCTCTCTCTCTCTCTCTCTGCATTTCCACAGATGAAATAAGTTCCCTGTTGTCGATAATTTCGTCATCCGATTAGCGAATTATTCTGTTTTCTTCAGTGGAACACATGATAGTCGTACAGACCAAGAAATACACACACACACATATATATATTTCTATATCTGAACAGGCGGGGAATGATTGGCGGAGCGGCTAAATATAAACTGATAATCATAATCATACACAACACTTACACACACACGCACACACGCAGACACACACATACACCCCAATATTCCGCTCTCTGTTTATCACCTCCCCACGCCCGTTTTGTTTTGTTTTTAATTATCTTAGCCATCGTCTGTTCTCCTCCGTGTTCTTCTTCTTTCTCTTGTGAATCAAGTATCACACTTCACTGGAAGCTGTGTGAATCACGTTTCATTTTTTTCCTGCCATCATTCTCTCTTCACTTTGAACTTGACTCATCGAAATTAGTGTAACACCGCATCAATCTGTTTTTGTTTGATTGTCTCTCGTATATGCACACACACTCACACACACACACCGACCTTCCTTCATCTCTCTTTACATCTCGCATCTTGTTTTATGTATAACTCTACTGTGTGTGTGTGTGTGTGCGTGTACGTGTACGCGCGAATGAAGATGTGGCATTCAGTAGATCTATTCACGATTGTCTACTTTCATGAATTCTATTCCGTTCTGTTCATCTTCTATTTTCGTTTTGTTTTGATCCACCCCTTACTTACTTACTTGATTGATTGATTGACTCATTGATTTGAGTAGTCCGTCTCAGGTGTGTGTGTGCGTGTGTCTGGTGAATCTACAATTGCTCTCGCAGAGTTTCTCATGTCATTTTTCAATATAGCATCTTGTGCATTTACAATACATGCGCATACTTACTACAAGTACACATTCCAAATAGAGTTTAGAGGGAAAATAACGGATTGTTTGATACCCCCACCCACACACTCGCACACACACACACACATCCGACTAAGAAATCAATCAATCGATAAATGCACCATAGTAAAACAGTACGTAACGTACGTACGTACGTACACATTATATCTAATACACAATTAAAATCTATTTTCTCTTTCAGACTATTTTAGCTTAACCTACTTACCTCAATGTTACCACAAAACGTTTGTTTAATACTACAATACTGACTCCATTGTGATTATTATTATAATGATTATTTATCTAATCAAATATATGTGTTCAACAAAATACAATAATATTCATAATATTTTCGACTAATTGTTATCCTGCTGGGTTGGTTGGTTCGCTCATTCTGAAAGAGATCTCTTTCTCCGTGTAGCTGATCTCTTCTGACCAGCCGACCATCTGATCTTCAGCTAAGTATTGAGCGAAGACAGTTAGTTAACTGTTGATGAAGGTCTATTATGGTTTGTTTGAGGTGCTCTTTTAATGGCGCTCTGGCCAAGTCTCTGATCCGTATGGTGAGCAGTACTGATTGACTTCACAGTGGAGTTGAAAATCCGGATCATATTTTCATTTTCATCCTGATTAGTGCTGAGTGTTGAGTTCCACACAGACTTGAGAGTAGTCAAAGCTTGTCTTGCTATGATATCCTCGTCAGTTCCGTCGGCCTGTAATTGAAACGATGCTTCCCAGGTAGGTAGATGCGTAGGTGAAGGAGGTTGTTTCTTTCAGGTTCCTCCCATTTATGCTGGCTGGTCGTTGTCTCTTCTTGTTGTTGTTGTTGCTGCTGTTTGTGTTGGTATTGGCCAGGAATCTTCATCACCTACTTCTGTTTATTCTATGTTCAGCTGAAGGAAGTCCTATCTTCTCTGGATGCTTATTCTACCGCCAACTTGTTGCTTTTCACTCGTAGTTTGTGGGATATCAGATATACATATATATATCACATCGTCGAAGTCCAGATCCTCCAAGTCTTTTTCCGTGTAAGTCCACTTGATGCCTGTTTCCTCGCTGCCTGACCCGTTGTCTGTCGCATAATCTAATCTACTGAAATCAGCAAAATAGTTGGCAATAGTAGGCATCCAGTCAGCCTTGCCTTATCCCCGTCTTTACTTCTTCGAAGGTTTCCGTAAGTTTTCCATTGTAGATTACTCGGAATGCAGCATTGTCGTACGACTAACTGTTGGATGAAATGTATAATTGTCGGTGGGACCCCGTAGTAGCGAATCAGTCTTCAAATTACCTCTAGATCGACGCTGCTCTACTGAAGGCCTTTTCAAAGTCGATGAAGTTGAGTGATATAGACAGGTAACTGACTGCAATTTCAAGCTTTGTTCAATGATGATTCATACTGTGGCGATTCGATCAATGCATGACTTGTTTCTCTTAAATCCAGCCTGTTCCTGTCGAAGTTTTTCATGCAGGTTGGCGTGTTTGATTATCTTTTCAGGATGATGGGGCTTAGTATTCTGCTTGGGATGGACAAGAGCGTAATTCCGTGCCAGTTCTTGCATTGACTTATGTGTTTCCTTTCTTTGGCAATTGGAAATATGTAGCCTTAGCTCCAATCCTCGGGTACCTTACCCTCTTTTCACAACTTCTCCAGTTATGGTGGTGTCCGCTGTTGTCCATTGTGTGAAAGAAATAATCAAGTCTCCCCCCCCCCAGCGAAATAAACTACCAGTGAGTGATTTGTACTCATATATATTACTATTTTGCATTTATTCCCGTTTCTTGCCTCTCATATGGGTAACATAAGACTTCAGTCTCATATCGTTATTCCACTTATGGATCATCGGTACGACTTGCAACAGAGTTTCACGATATCCTACCAACCTTTCAAATTTCTCTTCACCTTATCGTCTAGTAAACTTTCGATGCTTCCCAATCGCCTACCATTGTGGGTAGGTAGGTAGGGTCTACCAGTGTGTAGTGTCAGTGTACATGGATGGTCTTCTCTGTGTGTGTATGTATATATTCAATCTATGTTCGGATTCTTCTGCGTATATCTTGATTTCGTAATAGATTGCCAGCTGGCTGACTGCTTGACGGATTTTGTCTGAATCGTGTGTGTAATGTATTTGAGCAACACATTTCGAACAATCTGATCCATCACACACACACACACGGATTTGTCAGAGGAATATAGGGGATATGGGGAAATAATAAAGACAGTCAAGAGGTGGGTGGGTGGGTGAGAAAATAGACTACTTGACTTGACTTGACTTCTTAGGTCAAGTTAAAAATGGAGGACATATTCAAGGTGTGAAAATAACAATGAAGATGAATAATGACTAAACCAAATAACAGAGGTAGCATAGTACATCTGCTACGGTATCAAAATAAAATTTACTAAGGAAGGTTCAATGTGATAACGAATTGCTGATTCGAGCTCGTAAAGGTGGTTTAAGCTTCCTAATTGCCAACTAGAGCTAGCTTCCACAAATTTTTAGGATACGCCCTCCCTCAAACACGCTTATATAGATAGATCGGCCTTTAAAAGGTGTGTTAGTTAACGTCAATTTTATGTCCTGCCTCCTCTGTAATATATTTCGCAATAGAGGAGCCAGCTAGGTCTTCGTCTATTCTTACTACTTATGGGTTCTGAAGATTCCATTTGTTTCTGGAGCCATTTGCGAATGAATATTCTGTGAAGCCAGCGAGGCAGCTCTTACTTAGAGAGATCGATGAGTCTTCCCTGTGCATGTGTGTGTCCACACGTACATTAGAATTGGTAAATACAGTGAGAGGATGTGACATCATATTTCGCATGTTCAAAGGGCTTAGATGAGTTGATGGATTTATTGACTTCACATTCTCAATTACTACTATGATATCAGCTGCATAAAAAGTCTTTCAAACGACGACAGCGTTCTGTCTTTGTCTAATTTGAGAAGCTTGATGTACACTTCTTTCTTAGGGGCGAGTTGTAGAGTGAGTGGGTCTTGGTGTTCCACTGACTACTTTATAATATCTCCTGATGAACTTGTCTGGATAACTGTTATCAACCAGAGCAGAGTTGTGTCAACTTTCTTTCTTTCTTCCCCATCATCAAGTGTGTCTGTCTTCAGTGCATATTCGTTGGATTCTACTGAAGAGGAACCTTGTTGCTTAAATCCTCTATGGGTAGCTATGTGAAAGTCCGCTGCCTGGCCAAATACTTATTCAATGACATGGGCTCAGAGTAGTACGCCTGTCTTCTCAACTCTTCACACTCACTCACTCTGCCACATTCAGGAAGATCATCGGTGCACAGCAGGCAGTCTCATTGTCTCATTTCTCTCTTCACTACAGAAAATTCTGTCAGCTTCTTGTTATGAAAGTATTTGAGGCATGAGCACAATTCTCTACAAGTTTGGTGAGCTTCTGACTACACGTATATTGGAATTTCTGACCACCGGACAACAATCTTATAATTCTAGTTGATATTTCCATTGAACACTAGTCAGTAACTAGTGTGACATGTCTAAACCTTTCTTTGGTGCAGACTGAATTCTATCAGTCAGTCAGTCAGGTTTGCAATGTGGCCACGCCGTCACTGATTAGTGTTCAATTTAAATACCCACTACAGTCCTAGAGGAGGTCAATCGCGAGACAGCCCGAATAGCTAGCTTAGTGGTAACGTTTGTGACTACAGTATTCACTTGGTGGGACCCGAGCTGTTCCTTCAGTGTGGTTGCAGACACGCCTTCCTGACTGACTGACTGACTGACCGGTGAGTGTCAACTAGCACGAAACCTACCTAGGTCAAGCAAAGCTTCTTCTGGCCGATTGCCTCCAATTATCTAATAATTCCAGTTGAACATTTTGATCAAATTATGGTACTAAACATCCTTATGGATCCATCCATCCATCCATCCCCTTTCTGAATTCTGTTCACGGGCTGATCCATATTAATAAGTGTGCAGGTTGAATCGTCCGTCTCCCTATCTTTTAGCCATAGGCACTAGAATAGCAGTTTCTTCTCACACATGTCATACATTTTGCCTAAGATTTACTCATTTAACTGGGAATTGTTGGTAAGAATGGACCCACACAAAAAAGCACTTGGAGGATCTGGACTTCGACGATGTGATATATATATGTATATCTGATATCCCACAAACTACGAGTGAAAAGCAACAAGTTGGCGGTAGAAGATGCATCCAGAGAAGACAGGACTTCCTTCAGCTGAACATAGAATAAACAGAAGTAGGTGATGAAGATTCCTGGCCAATACCAACACAAACAGCAGCAACAACAACAACAACAACAAGAAGAGACAACGATCAGCCAGCATAAATGGGAGGAACCTGAAAGAAACAACCTCCTTCACCTACGCATCTACCTACCTGGGAAGCATCGTTTCAATTACAGGCCGACGGAACTGACGAGGATATCATAGCAAGACAAGCTTTGACTACTCTCAAGTCTGTGTGGAACTCAACACTCAGCACTAATCAGGATGAAAATGAAAATATGATCCGGATTTTCAACTCCACTGTGAAGTCAATCAGTACTGCTCACCATACGGATCAGAGACTTGGCCAGAGCGCCATTAAAAGATCACCTCAAACAAACCATAATAGACCTTCATCAACAGTTAACTAACTGTCTTCGCTCAATACTTAGCTGAAGATCAGATGTTCGGCTGGTCAGAAGAGATCAGCTACACGCAGAAAGAGATCTCTTTTGGAATGAGCGAACCAACCAGCACAGCAGGAACGGATTGTGCGAGAAGTAAGCAGGAAGAAATGGAGATGGAATGGATTGTGGCCATCCTCTGAGAAAACAAACCATCAAGTGAGTGACATTACTAGACAAGCCATTGCTCGAATGGGAAACAAGTTGCGAGTTGGTCGTCAGTGTGAGTGTGTGGTGACTTTGAGGAGCAGGTCGTGAGAAGAGGAGATGATGAAAGATTATGATGGGCAGACTTGGAGCCAGGTGAAAACTCTAGCAGAGAACCGAACGCAATGGAGACTTGGGCGGCTGAAGAAGCCCTATGTTCCTCTAGGAATTAAAGGAAATAATATTGTTAATAAATAAAAATCAGTGTCATCTAGTATCTTCTGTAGCAAATTCCTATTAAAAATCATCTCGCCTTCAAACAAATCATAAATTGGTTCCTCTGCAAAATGAATGTGAACCTTCAGTAAAGTTGACAGCATTAGTCTAAATAATCGTCTTTCATATGTGTATTGATTGACAAAGGTGAAATAAGCAGCTAGTCATTCTGATGAGGGTGATTATTGAATTATAGTAGATTTTCGCGTCCATTGATTGATTGATGGGACAGAAGTGCTCGGTCTCAGGTGTTG